CTGAATTTTGTTATTCAAAACATTGAAAATATATTGGAAAACCATAGTTACAAATTCTGATCAGACAATCCTGGCCAAATCTAGTCCTGTCCTATTTAATCCTGTACAATTCAATCCCGTTCTATTTAATCCTTTACAATTCAATCCCGTCCTATTTAATCCTGTACAATTCAATCCCGTCCTATCTAATCCTGTACAATTCAATCCCGTCCTATTTCATCCTGTACAATTAAATCCCGTCATATTTAATCCTGTACAATACAATCCCGTCCTATTTAATCCTGTACAATTCAATCCTGTCCTATTTAATCCTGTTCAGTTCAATCCCGTCCTATCGAATCCCGACCTATCCAATCCTGTCCTATCCCATCCCGACCTATTCTGACCTTACTTATCCCTTCCTGTCCTATCCAATACCGGCTTATCCAATCCCGACCTGTCTTGTCCTTACCTATCCCTTCCTGTCCTATTTAATCCTGTCCTATCCAATACCTGCCTATCCCATCCCGACCTATCCTATCCTAACTTATCCCTTCCTGTCCTATCCAATCCTATCCTATCCAATCCTGTCCTATCCAATCCAATCCAATCCAGTCCTATTCCATCCTATCTTATCTATTCCTGTCCTATCCAATCCAGTCCTTTCCAATCCTGTCCTATCCAATACTGTCCTATCCAATCCTGTCCTATCCAATCCTGTCCTATCCAATCCTGTCCTATCCGATCCTGTCTTATCCAATCCTGTCATATACAATCCTGTCCTATCCAATCCTGTCCTATCCAATACTGTCCTAACCAATCCTGTCCCTATCCTATCCTGTCTTACCCAATCCTGTCGTATCCATACCTGTCCTATCCAATCCTGTCCTATCCAATCCTGTCCTATCCAATCCTGTCCTATCCAATCCTGTCCTATTCAATCCAGTCCTATTCCATCCTGTCCTATCCATTCCTGTCCTATCCAATCCTGTCCTATCCAATCCTGTCCTTTCCAACTATGTCCTATTACTTGAAATTACGTGTAAAGTCCCTCTAAAATGTATTTTGTGGAAAGGAAGATTGTTTCTCAATTATCATAGTTCTGGTACACCCTGTACACCCTGTACTCTTGTACCTGAGTTGTCTTTATTATAGAAGATAATTAATTATAGGAATCAAAGATTATTCCTGAATTGATTAATTGATTAATTATTTATATACTCTATATATTGACCCTCCCCCCAGCCATGATTTACTGTGTACACCACAAACAGTAATCACAACAATGATATATTAATTATACTTATTCATTATTTTGCTTCTTAACAGACAAATATTTGGATTAAGAAATGTTGACTTTTGTGATTTTTAGGTTTCATATTTCAGTTAAGGAATTAAATATCCTTGTGAAAAACTCAGTTTTTAAATTCCTTATGTCTTTTCAACCTGATGGTTTAAACATTTTATATTTCAAACTCAGATTATTTGAATTAACTGAATTCATAGTTTGAAATATATAAGGTCTTCGATATTAGTTTGCTAAGATATTGGGGGGGGGGGGGGGGGAATCCGATTTTGTGGCAAAGTTTCTTTTAATTAGAAGTACAAAACCGACTTTTAAGCAACTTGTTGTAGAGTACACATACAGGCTTCACGCAAAAATTGATGATAATTTTGCCAATAATAAATGTACATGTCCAGAGCTTCAAAAAGTATAGGTGAGTTATTGAGGCAACATCAAAGGCCAGGGCGTTGCGTTGTGACTCTTAAAATTCGACCCAATCTTGAAAATTGATACAATTTCTTTAGCAGTCTGGATTCATGAAATTAAAGTGATATACAGTGAACTATTTTTAAAATTAGTCGCGTAAAAATCTTAAAATCTTCAACGTCATTTAATGGTAAAAATGTAAAAAAAAACTATTTTTATTCAAATGTTTCTGGTCACCACTGCATGAAAAATCTCTTTTCCATCACCTTAACATCAGTGTAACGAGCAATGAAAATGATCGAAAATTTATCAAAAATTCAACATA